TCATCCCTCATTCAGCCTGTGCCAGAGGGCCAGCAACATTYCCAGGTGAAGGGCCAGCTGACCACTCACTTGCCCCTATACCCTGGAAGGATCTGACTCAGGCATCCTGAGCGTATGGGAAACATGGAGCCAGGGAGGGAAGGTGTCAGATGSACAGCCCTGGTGCTAGGACTTAATCCAGGCCCAACAGGAGGGCCAGGCCAGGCTCCATCTTGGTCATCCCAGCTGGGACTGGCCTCATGGAGAGGCCTACAGGGCACTGGTACTGAGGCAAGAGGCAGCTTCTGGTCTTAAGGTACCAAGACAGCATGCAGGGGAGGAAGTGGGGGGAGCTTTCTGGCCATTGACTGAGGCCTGGGTCTGTGGGAGACTGGGCAGCCAAGCATGGCTACGGGCAGGCCCAGCCCCTCTGCCTGGGAAGAGCTGGCTGGAGGAAGGAGCTGGACTTGGGATGTTGTTGCCTCTGGCTTTTTCTCAGTTGAGCCTGATCCTAAGAGACTCCCACTTAGCCAGCTCCCCTAGGGTCTAGCTACTATGCAGGGGCCAGAGTATGCCAAGGATATAGGTTATTGATCCCACTGCCCAATCTCCAGAAGTTAGGCTATCCCAGCATGTCCCACTCAACCAACCCTGGGGCTTTTGTTCCCTTCCTGCCAGCAGCTGGGAGCTCTGGCTTCTAGAGCACCTTTGTCACTAGGCTGCAAAATAGCCAACCCCCTCCAATTCCCCACCCATAGAACAAAAGAGCCACCAGATGGCAGTGGGGTCCTCCATAGCCCTGTGGTTCCTCTGAGCAGTTCTGCTCCCACTCTTTCCTGGACTGCCCTTCTGTCCTAGAAGGGTCACCCTGACCTGGCAGTCCCTGCTGCTGGTCTTAGAACCCCAGTCCTGACAGGGCCTGGCCAKGCTGGCTCTGCCCCTTGATGGGGCTGTGAGCAAGGTAGAAAGGAGCTGGTCTTYTTTCTTTGGGTCCACCCTGGACCCAAGCACCCCCCTCATCCCTGTTAGGGCCCTAGGCCTTCAGTCCTTAGCTTGGGGGATATATGGTTTGACTCAAGCCCAGGAGCAGAGGAATAGGGCACTGGAAGGTGACATTAGCTCAGCATGTGATTTGGTGATAGACCAGGCTTGGAAGGGCCAGTATACTTTTCRTTGTTGTTGGTTTATTGTTGCACATTCCAGGATATCAGTATTTTAACAGGTTCTAAGTGCCTTTCTATTGTAGCTTATGTTTTTCCTYCTCTTGGCTCCATTGCTGTTAGCATAGAGTTTAAAAAAGAGATAAGCTAATGACTATAACAATATATTCCTCCATGTGAGAGGAAGTTTATAAAGAAACAATAAAAGTGAGTTGCAAAGATGGTTTCTGTGTCATGAACAAGCTAGGAACGGGGCTGACCTTAGACTGTCTGTCTCTGTGCTCAGCTTTGGGGTCTCCCAACAATATTACCTAAAGCCCCTGATCTGGGGTTTCTCTTCAGCCTTTAGGTGCCAGCCTCAATGTGAGGCTGAAAGCAGGTCAGCCCAGCCGGGAACTGGAAGGAAAGAAGCGTGAGGGTCGGGTTCTGAGGAGCAGAGATGGAAGATTCTGGAGTAAGCATTACAAGGTTCAGATCCCTAACCTGCTATGACTGGTGAGCCATGCCTTGGTCCAGGGATAGGCTGGCCAAGGTTCTCCCTCAGTCATGTATGGGAGCATTCTGCCCAGCTCACCAAAAACATCACATCGAAGCCTGGGCCAGGGGCTTTCACCCTGAGGGTGGGGCAGGAAAAGACCTGTGGGATGGTAATGGGTTTCCATCTGGCAGGATGCAAGGGAGGGAAGGGAACTAGGTGCCATGGGAGCAGGAGCAGCTGTATGACCCCTCAGGCAGGCTCTTACATGGTGGGACTGCTCAACAATCTCACTACCTGAACCCAGCTCCTGAGGCTGTTAGCTGTTGTCCCCACAATAGGCAGGAAGAGCAACTGGCCTCCTGCAAATGGGATACATGCACAGGAGAAACACGGAAGAGATTTATTACCAAGCTATAAGTTAAGAGGTGGCAGGGAGAGGAGAGCTGCATGGTCACGTTCTGGGCACCTGCTCTTTCTCTTTCTCCTCCTGGGCCTGGATTCTGAGTTCCTCATCCAGGCGCTCCTTTGCCCGGACAACCTGGAAGGAGGTGAAAGATCAGGGCTCGGCAGAACCTCTACCTTTTGCCCCTCACCTACAGACAGGATTCTTCATTTCCTGGCTCAGGCTACCTTTCTGGAGGGCAGTCCTCCTCCACAGGAGCCCGGTTTCTGCACCAGTAGACCAGTGCTGGGTTTCTGCACCAGTAGACCAGTGCTGGTCCGGTACATACCACCAGTGGCTGCTCCTGCTCCTTCAAGTTCTGAATGCTGGGAGGGCCACTGTCCCTTCAGCTGAGCCCTACAGAACTGAGGCAGCCAGAGGAGTGGCAATTTGAGGGAGTGGGTGTCCTCTCTGAGGCTAGGGCACCAGGGAAAGGCCTGGCATACCTCACTTACTACCTGCCAACTCCCTAACTGCCAGCTGCCCTGCCAGGGGTCCCAACTGAGGAGAGGAGGTATGTGGCTTATCCTTGAAGAATCAAAGAGCACTTACCTTGGACTGTAGGTAGAAGGAGCCGCCCACGGATTTATCATTCACCTTAAACAGATGTTCATAGTTCTACAGGGGAGAGGAGACGGAGAGCAGACTGCAAACTCTGAATGAGACACCAGGAGAAGCTGACGATAAGGGAAGTTAAAGGGCCTGACCTCTACACCCCATATGCCACACTGTGCAACCCAGGAGGCTGCTATGACCTAAAGGGGCAGAGACAGGACAGATGCCCATAGAGGGACAGCTTGGCTGCTACTGCCAACAGCTCTGCCTCTGCAACTGCCCTGCCTGGGGCCTAAAACTTAACAAACAACAGTGGCTTCCTCAGTGGGAGTCCCAGCTGGCTTCAGTCAGACCCACTACACTTACCCACTTCTGCCAAGCCTCCCCTACCCCAGTCTTACGGCCTTACCTTCTGGACCTCCTCGGGACTCAGTTTGGAGACGTTGAGAATCTGCTGGGCCTCCTGAAGACTGAGGCCAGAGAGGTTGGATGCAGCTGCAGACTGGTGCCCAGCTCGTCCCCGGGCATCAGCTGCGGCTCGGCTGGCTGTGTGGACACATGGGTGATCGCTCAGCCCTCCATGGCCCAAAGCTCCCCCTGAGCCTTCCGGATGGGTGGCTCACCCCTGCCAGGTGGCACAGAGGAGACATACAGGAACAGAAGTGGCCAGGAGTAGCTCTTCTCCAGGACTGGTTTCTTTTGGGGGAGGGGGCAGGAAAGTAAGGACAGACAAGCCTTACTGGAGGACAAGGTCTGACCATCGAGCCTGGGTTATGGTCCCCTACTAGATCATGAGCTGACCTAGTCCCCTTCTCCCCCTACCTCTGGTCCTAGGGGCAGAGCAAATTGGGGACCAGGCAGAGTGAAGCTGTGGCCAAGGGAGGAGCAATAGTTCTGCTGGGACCTGGCTGCCCAGCCAGCACCCAGACCACCAAAGCAAGCTTGCCTCTAGTGACACTAAAATCAGAAGCCAGTAAACATTTCCTTACAGAGTCAGATAGAAAATATTTTAAATTTGGTCAATTTCACCTGCATTGGAATTACTCAGTTCTCCCTGATAGCAGCCAGAGGATGTGGCTATGTTCCAGGAAAACTTAATTTACAAAAACAGATGGTCAAGTGGGCCAGTTTGCCAGCTCCTGACCAGGATATTCATGTTAACCAAGTCTCACTGGACATAAACCTCTCTCACATGGGAAGGTCCCAAAGTCTGGCCTTACCTGCTACCACAAAAGAGTGCCCCAAGCCACCCAAGCCACAGAATGCTTTATCGTGGAGGGAATCACTGCATTTATGACCAGGCTGAGCTACCAAGGAAGATCTGACCTGGGCAGAAGCTCTCAACTCAGGAGAGAGGGGCCCATGCTTACCTGCAAACTCCTGCCGCAGGGCCCGAGCAAAGGCTCTGCCTACCACCTGTGCGCCCATCACAATGATTTGGGCCAGGTACTTGGCCTGTGGGCAGAGTAGGCATCTGGTTAGAAGGCTGCATTCTCAGGGCCTGAAAAGTGAGGAGTCTGGAGATGGCTGCTGAGGAACTGAGAGTATGGTGTATAGCACTGCAGCCACAGGCCACCTTCTCCAAAGTGCCCTGATAAAAAGCTTCTGCTTGGGGTGGCTTCAGATACTTACTGGAGTCTCCAGAGGCAGACTGGTCCCCCTTGACCTTCGGGAAAGTCAGAGAAAAACCAAAGCAATGTGGCTACAGGGGATGGAGGGCACTGACGTTAGTAAGAAACACCGTGGCCTGGGATCCAGAACACAGGGACAGTCCCAGACCTGTTACCAATTCACCCTCTATCCCAGAACTGACAATGACTCTTCCTGTGCTTCTCAGATTATCTGGTCCAACCTTCTTTTTACCAGTGGGGAAATTCAGACCCATTCTAACCATAAAGTCCTATGACTTGGAGCTCATTCCATTCAATACAACAAAAAGTTACCACAGGTCTACTTAGAATATACAGTCTCCAGCTTCAGGAGCTAAAGGCCCATTAGGAGGGTAGTTATACAATCACAGGAAGGACCTTTTGATTATCAAGAGTAGGGCTAGTTCATTTGTTCAGCCACTGGTTCGCCTACTCCTTCAAACACTAGCCAGAGTCTATGCCACCCACTGCACAGCACACACGGAGCCTGGTCCCTGTCTTGAGCTGGCCACATACTTACATGGCCTGACATGGAAATCAATTGCAGCACAGCAAGGTTATACAGACCCCAGACTATGATTCAGCATGCCTCAGACATACCTCACTAAGACACAACCAGACGCTCAGTCAGTAGAGGGAACATTGAGCAATGAGAGAGGTTCTGGGAGAAGATGATGCTTCTCCTGGCTAGGTTCTGAAGAGCAGACAGAATCGTGATGGGACTCTTAGGACTCTGAAGCAGAGGAACAGGGTAGGGGAATAAGATACATCCTGGGAGCAGCCAGAGGTAAGAACAGAAAGGCATATGACATGGGAAAATTTATAGACTATATTGTGACATGCAGATAACATAGGCAACATGTATAAAAAATGATCTTGTGTCCATGAAATGGTACAAACAGGGTTGCACAGAGGACACAGGAGACTGCTCACAATGGGTTAACAGTGTTCATGTGGCAGAGTCAAGTAAGTTGCCCTTTCTTCTTTGTACTTTCCTGTGGTTAGGGTTCCCCTTGGTCAGCAAGTACTGATTGAGCTTGTGTGCCAGGCACTGTGCCAAACATGTTCTATTGTTTGTGCCACATAATCCCAATAACTCAAAGGGCTTAGTGACCAAGGACAGGCAGCTAGTACTTGAGTGAGGGAGAAGGAACCAGAGCTGGCGCTATGTGACAAGGTAGCTGCGGGCTGCTGCCTCACAAAAATCCCAAGATAAGGCAGGGTGACTAAGCAAACTGATCCAGAAGCCAAAGAGGGGCAGGGGCTGTCAGATTCCAGTGGAATTCGGACTCCAGAAGTGACCTAGTTTGGCTTTCAAGGCCTTGCCCTTCCCTAACAGAAGGGATGTGATTATGGGCCATCAGGGGAATGAATAAACAGAATTTGATTTGCATTTCACAAGTAGGTGGAAATTTCATAAGTTCTGGATTTCATACAAGAAAGTAAAGCCTAAAGAAGACCCTCATGTAATCAAAGGTAAGACTGCAGCCAGCTGTACTGGAGGTGTAGGAAGAATAGCAGTGTGCTTGCTGACTGTGTAATCTCACCTGTCTTCTGTCCTCCTTGCCTAAAAGCTACAGGCTCTCAGGTGGAATACTGGCCTTGCATGACAGGGCAGTCACTACCTCCAGAGGTTCCCTGAGCCTGAAAAACCCCTTGGGTGATCTCACCTCCCACCCCAAAGCCTCTGTCCTCTGCTGCCAGAGGCTTAACATAGTCTTGTAATCACTGGTTACTTTTCTGCTGAGGCCAATAACCATTGCTAAATAATGCACATTAAGAGGAAAGACTGGGCTGGGATTGTAGCTCAGTGGTAGAGCGCTTGTCTTGCATGCGTGAGGCACTGAGTTTGATCCTCAGCACCACATAAAAAATAAATAAAATAAAGATATTATGTCCGTCTACAACTAAAAAAAAAAAAAAAAGGCTGACAGCTGGCTATACCTCAGTGATAGAGTCCTTGGTTAGTATGCACAAAGCCCTGGGTTCAAGCTCCAGTACCCCAAAATAGAAAACAAAAACACCAAGGCTGTAACTGGGAAACTTCCCTAACCATGTCCTCCATGTTGTAAATCAAAGTTGTGCTGGGTATGGTTGCATATGCCTGTAATACCAGAGACCCAGAGGTCAGAGGGATTATAAATTCAAGGCCAGCCTCAGCAATTTAGCAAGGCCCTATGCATGTTAGTGAGATCTGTCTCGAAATAAAAAATAAAAAGGGCTGGGGATGTAGCTCAGTGGTTTAGTATTCCTTGGTTAAATCCAAGGGCCAAAAATGAAAAAAATAAATCAATCAAAGTGGCATGGTAGCCTGTGGTTCTACTGTCCAGAACGCTCTACAACTGCAGGGAAGGCAGGATTGGCCCACAAAGTTTCATCAGCTACCCTGGCTGGTGGAGGGAGCTGGATAGAGGGCAGATGGAGGCCACCAAAGTTCCTGCAGGGTTACCTCCTACAAACCACTGGGGAAGGAGTGTGGTATAGTGGTTACAGAAGGCTCTGGGATCACCTGTGGCCAAATCCTGGCTGTGTGGCCCTGGAAAAGATCTCAATCCCTTTGAGCCTATTTCCTCACCTATAAAATGAGGACAATGATAGGGCTGTCACAGAGATTATATAATGCCTATAATGTGTCTGGCATGGACCTTAATAATACAGTAGGTGATCAGTAAGTGTTGCTTTTCATTAACTACTGCTGTTTCACAAAACTTGGCAATGGCTAGACAGTATGGAGTAACAAAGTTTATAATAAAGCAGTTCATTTGATTCCTCAGGGGTGAAGGCTGCAAAATGCTGTATTCCCCAGGGAGCCAGGAAGCAGTTAGGGAGACACTTCGACTGGAAACCTAACTTTGCTTCTCACTAGTTGGGTGTCCCTGGGCAAGTTACTCAACTTCTCTAAACCCTGTTTTCTTATCTGCAAAATGAAGAAAAGAATACATTCCTTATAGGAGAGTCATAAAGCCATAAAGGAATGCATGTAAAACCAACTGGACCCACAGTGGCAGGCCGAAGCAAGAGTTCAACAGCTGGCTTTACTTTGGGACCAGACCCAATTTGGTGTTAATGGTCTGGCAATCAGGTGGTGCTGCCAACTTTCATCCACCTATTCCAACCCAAACATTCCCTGAACACTGACTATGGGTCAGGCCATGCTCACAGCTGGGGATTCATGGTGGGCAAAGCTCTGGAAGCTGCAGCCTCTGCAGGTGATCCAAAGTGCCACTGGACGAGGCCCCTCCTAGAAAGACCTAAAACAACCCATAATACACTGACTGATACTTGGGTCTGAAAGTCCCAGTGAAGACCAACCATTGGCAATCAACTTTGGGTCAAGCAGTAGGCAGACAGCAGAGGTCAGAGCCACAGGACTCCAACCTGGGACCCACAGCGGGCAGCACATAGGCTTTTTCTTCTGTAAAGCAACATGGCAAATACAAGACCACAGCCCTGAAGTTAGGGCAAAGTACCACAAGTAATATTAAAGAGACACTCAGAAATAAGGATTATCCCACTAAAAGTACATCAAGAAAGGAGCTCAGCTTTCTGACAAATGTGCTACATTCCTTCAAGGCACAGCTGCAGGCCCTCAGGTTGGTGAGCAGACTGCCACTAAGACTCACTTCCTTCTCAAGGACATGCTGAGCTAGCAAGGGGCTATGGTCACCCAGGGCCTCTACAAACAGCTGCTGGTATCACAGCTAGGCAGGAAAAAGGCCAGGACCACAGGGGCCCAGAGCCCAATCTGCATTTGAATGAATGTGGCTGCCCAGGAATGGACACTTAACCACACCACCCTCAGCTGCGCTTCAGACAAGGCTGGAGTCTTATACTCTATGCTCCCAGACAAGGTTTCCAAATGCCTCCTAACCTCTCAGCTGGGGAAGGGCTCTGGCCATTGCCCAATACACACACCGTTCTCCACTTGGCATTCACATCTCTCCATCTGGCCTCAACTAACTTCTCCGCCTTATTCTCCCCTTCACCTCTCCCCATAATGCAAATGCACCCTCTACTCCTAGATCAGTTCTTACACTTTTCTTCTCCACGTGTGCTCTTCCCTCCTGACACTGCCTAAGTCCCGGCCCTGCGGGAGTCGCTGGACGTCTAACAGCCCACCTCCGGTGGGAAACTTTCCCAGCCTCCTCCTATCATACTTATCCACAGCATTTTCCTTTCCTATGGATAGAGTCCCTCAAGTCATCGACTGGCGGATACCAACTCCGCGACTCCCAGGGACGGTGCTCAAGAACCTGCCTTTTCAAAGTTCCCGGGAGGCCTCCGTGGAACAGGTGTGCGCATGCCCCCTCCGGTCGCCCGCGGAGGCTCGCTCTCGGGCGGCGACGGCAAGGACCGGCGCGTGCGTCAGCCAGGTAGGTGTGCGCTGCCTTCCGCCGGCGGCGTTACCCGGCCGCCTCCCCCCACCCCCGCTTCCCGCCGCACGCGCGCCCTCAGCACGGCCGGAGCCCCATCACCCTCCCCAGCCTCCCTGTCCCGGCGGCGCGTCCCGGGTCTCACCATTGCGACCGCTCTGCCTCGGGGTCGCGGACTCCCGCTTCCTGGCCCCGCCGCGCCGGCTCAAGGGCGGCCGGCGGGTCAGAGGTTAAAGGAGACAGCAAAGCGCGTGCGCGAGGCCGCGCTGGGCATGCGCGTTACCTCGGCCCCGACGGAGCGCTGTCGTGACGAAAGAGGGGCGGGAGGGGCGGGACCTTCGGTGGGCGGAACCTCCCTTGGGCTCTGGGGATCACCAGGCGGGCGATGGATGGTCCCAGCCCCTCCAGCTGGGGCGCCAAGACTGTTTCTTCCCTTAGTTTTGCCAAAAATATTTAAAACGAAAACATCAGGTGAAATAAACGAATATAATATGAGGTAGGATGCCAAATTTTCGGGAATATCTAAGAAAACTGGGAACTTCAGAATAGATTTCAGTCCAGATTCCTTCTGTTTGGTAATCTGAGAGGCTGATTTCCTCCCCCAAATCTGTGCTCAAATGCCACCTTGTCAATGAAGCCCACCCCGAGTCCCCCACTATGACATGCCCTACATTCTCTCTATTGAGATGTAATTCACACACCATACACCTCACACTTTTAAAGTGCACAATTCAGTGTCTTTGAGCATATTCACAGAGCTGTGCAACAATCACCACCATTTAGTTTCTTGCCCACCAGCAGTCATCCTCGCCCTGCCCTGACAACCATTCATCTGCATTTTGTCCCTATGGATTTGTCCCTTCAAGACATTCCACAAAAATGGAATCAATACTACAAGTGTCTTTTGTGACTGGCTTATTGCTTATTCCTTCATTTTTTTTTKGGGGGGGGGTAGTGCTGGGTATTCCTTCCTTTCTTTGGTACTGCAGATTGAACCCAGAGGCACTTTATCACTGAGCCATATCCCCATCCCTTTTTATCTTTTTGAGACAAGGTCTGGCTAAGTTTCTTTTTTTTTTTTTTTAAAGAGAGAGTGAGAGAGGAGAGAGAGAGAATTTTTAATATTTATTTTTTAGTTCTCGGCAGACACAACATCTTTGTTGGTATGTGGTGCTGAGGATCGAACCCGGGCCGCACGCATGCCAGGCGAGCGCACTACTGCTGAGCCACATCTCCAGCCCCATGGCTAAGTTTCTTAGGGCAACTATGGACAGCTAAATTGCTGAGGCTGGTTTTGAACTTTCGATCCTCCCACCTCAGCCTCCAGAGTCGCTGGCATTACAGGTGTGTATTACCATGCGCAGCTTTATCCTCCACTCTTGATCCCCTTTACTTTTTTAAATGTATATATATTTTTATTGTTTGATGGACCTTTATTTTATTCATTTTTTTATATGTGGTGTTGAGAATCGACAGTGCCTCACACCTGCAACACAAGTGCACTACCACTGAGCCACAGCCCCAGCCCCCTGACATCCTCTATTTTTTTCTGAGGCTTTTACATCCTCTACCGTATCATATAGTTCCTTTATTTTTATGTTTATTGCTTATAGTCTGTTCCCTCCCACTAGAAGGCAAATTCCCAGGGGGCAAGCTGTGTATCTATTCTCCACCTGGAAGGCTGCCTGGAGTGTGGCAGGTGCTCACAAGTATTTGTAGAATAGATGGAAGTCAGGCTGCCTACACTGTGCTCTGGCACTGCCCTTTCTTTCCTCAGGCTCTCAAAATTGCTTCTTCCCTCAGCACTCCTGCTGTCCTTCCTTTTGTTAGAGATGTTCTGGTAGCATTCTCTGTGGCAAGCTCCTTCAGGTGTCAGCTTAAATGGGAGTCAACTTCTCGGACCTCTGAATACCCTATTTGCCCCCGCATTCAAATCACTTCCTTTTTTTTTTTTTTTTTTTTTGTGCTGGGGATTGAACCCAGGGCCTTGTGCATGTGAGGCAAGCACTCTACCAACTGACCTGTATCCCCAGCCCCACTTCTTTTTTTATAGTTATCTTCTCCATGGCTCCTTTCACACTGCTCTTCTGCACAGTCTACTTCCCTTGTACAACAAAGCTATAGTAAGCTTAAGCTCACTGAAAGACCCCAACCCTGCTGGGCTCTCCAGTTTCAATACCTACCAGAGTACTGCTGGGCACCTGAGTGCTGAATGAATGAACTCCCAGCAGCTTTCAGCTAAAAGGCCATAAGGACAAAGTGAGCTGGGATGAGGGTGAGCACAGATTCAACCACTCTCACTCATATTCATGTCCTCTTTCCCTTTCCAGCTATCCCAGAGACAAGAATAGCACAAGAGGTGGTCAGCTTACAAAAATTTAATTGCTGAAAACATCCAAGCATGTGCAGGTTGGTCCTTGCAGGATTCACACTACCCTAATTGGGCCATCGATTTGGTGAGGCCCCCTTCTCCTGGTTGCAACCCTGGGAAGCAGGACAACTGGTCCCAGGTTCTTCAGGCTGGAGCTGTTCCAAATGGCTTGGTGGGGGGCCAGCCCCCAACACCCTTAATAGGAACAATTAAGCAGGCAAGATGGGTTGGCATGTAGTACCTGAAGGTGCTGGATTAAGACCAGCCTAGGCTGGGACCAGCCCAGGTCAGCAGAAAGAGCAGGGGAGACAGGGAGCCCAGGGCCTGCCCAGGGACATGGTACTGACCCCAACCCCATGCCCTTTGGTTCCACATGCTAGCAGGTGGTTGAGGACAAGCAGCTGGTCCCAAAGAAAGCTGAATTACAGACAATCCCTGGGAGTTGCAGTAGGCCCAGCAACCATGGAAGTGCCCAAGGCCTGCAATAAACCAAGGCTTCTGAGATGGGGCGTGCCAAGGCCAGAGAGGTATCTTCCAGGTTGAAGAGATGTGAGGTGTGCAAGGGCACCAGGTGGTTCTAGGAGGTGGCAGCAGCAGATGAGGCCAGAAGTGACTGGTAGGCAGGCTAGTCCTGGGGTGATAAACCAAGAAGTGGGAGAGAGTTAAGAGGGTCTGGGAAGGAAGGGTATGTGTGCTGCTGTGTGTCTGGGAGGGATGGTGCTGCTGGTCAGGAAGGCTGGTCTCCCTTGCCACTCACTTACCCACTCATCCTCATCCACCCCTTCAAAAGAGTCCTGGGGCAGCGGGTCCTCCCGGTTCCCTAGCTTTGCCACCATGGCATTCAGCAGCTGCAAGAGTGGATCAGAGAAGCGTTGAAAGGAATAGGACTTCCAGACCTCAAGAGCATCAGATCCCATGGTTTTAACCCTGACAGTATTGTGAAAAGAGCCATTTTAATTAGAGTTGTGGCAAAGTTCATGGGTTTTCACTGAAGAAGACACAAAGACAAGAGATGGGAATCAGAGACAGAGAGACCATGGCTGTGGCACTTGATTCAGATGCAGCTGTCTCTGCACATAGCCTAAAAAGCTCAAACATACACCAGGGCCCCAAATGGACTTGGCTCTCCAACCTCCAGTTTTAGTTGGATCAAACCTGGTGGGGCTTAGAGGGGCTCTCCCTACCTTCCCTGGCTTCCTGTAGCCTGGGGGCAGCAGGAGGTCAGCAGCAGGGCTCTGAAAGGTCTCCCCACCAAGCTCTGACACAGAGATCAGTGTGATACAACTCCCATCTGATCAGGACTAGAGATATGAAGGACAGCCACACACAGCTAGGACCCCATCCACTCTGCAGAACTAGCCCTCTCCCTTGCCTACCTCTTCCTTCTTCTGTTGATCTGACTTCTCTTCCAGGTACTGTGCTGAGGATGGGGCTCGCCGGGCAGGCGCTTCACGGGGGGCTTGGCTCACTGAGATGAGGCAAGGACAGGTATCAGAGAGTCCCCTGTGTGGGGGCTGCTTGATGCCAGCCCCTAGGGGATAGGTGGCATAAACAGCTCGTGAAGTTTCTGTTTAGGAGGACTGCCCTAGGCACCAGGGACCAGGGTGTGTGTTGGGTAGGATGTGGGATGGAAACATAGGTACTACCCTCCAGGAGCTCAGAGATTGGGTCTCAAGACATGGTCACTCCATCCCTGAGAGAGCTGGAGGTCCTGTGTGTCCTCAATGATGAAGGATTGAACTTGGGCCTCTGCCCCCTCCTCTAGGCCCTGCCCAGACTCCCCTGCTTCCTCCCCCCAACCCTTGTTACTCCACCTGGGATCATGCCAGGGGGCTGCAGGCTGAGTAGTCGGGGCTGTCCATTAGTGCCTCCTAGCCAGGCCTCGGCACTGAGCACTGGCTCCCAGCTCACAGCAGTGTCTGGGAACACATCATCCTGGAAGAACTCTTTCTGCAGGGGGGGAAGGGACTGTCTTGAGACATTGACTAAGACCTAGAACACACCAATATCAAGCTCTGTGACCCTTACCCCCCATGCTGGGGCATCCATAACTTCTGAAATTGCAGCAAATAAGGGGCCAGTATCCCCAAAGAGCAGAGAGCAGGAAGGTTTGGAAGCACAGCCAGATAGAACTTTAAAGTCCCTGGCCAGTGCTGGGAAGAGGGCATTGGGTGCTGGAATCCTTGGACCCGACCTCACCCTGACTCGGGGCAGGCGGAAAGCAACAGGCTCCAGGGAGGTTTGGCGCAGCCGCAGGCATCGGGCAAACTCCACTTCCCGCACATCACACTCGGTCTTGGGTAGGAGGATGAAGCCCTGGGGGGAGAGGAGTAACAGCTAGAGCCAAAAGCTCCTCCTGGGCACCCAGTGTAGCAACATTCCTATGTAGGACCACAGCCTCCCCCTGGACAGTGGTGTACTGGTAATGTGAACGGGTGGCCCTATGAAGGTTGGCCTGTTTCCAGAGTACAAACTCCCACCATGGCCCATCTCAAGCTACTAACTTGACTCATTAAATGCAGGGTTGAGAAGAGATGTATAGTGGCATGCCATCATGGCACATTTCAACTCTCTCAGATACAATCAATGGCACAAGTAATAGTAAAATCTAGTATGATAATTAGAAAGTGATCAGAATAGTTCTTTCTTTTTTTTTTCCCCCTCCCTTAGTGGTACTAGGGATTCCACCTAAGGCCTCAAGCATGCTAGGCAAAAGTTCTACTATTAAACTACTACCCAATTATTTGTTCATTTTGAGATAGGGTCTCACTAAGTTGCCCAGGTTGGCCCCAAACTTAGAATCCTCCTGAATCAGCCCCCTGAGTCACTGGGATTATAGGCATGTGCCAGGCACCGGGCTATCCTTTTGGTTTTTAATATA